CCTTGTTTCAGATACTTTTACCAGGATAGGTTTCTTTCTGGCTGGTTAAGTGTCCCTTTGTCTGATGGTTTAACTATCTGTCCTGCCTTTCCTTTTTGTTTAGATATACGTCACTGTTTTCCACTCTCAGCTGTTCTATGTCTTAAGTTACTTCCAGATCATCTCAGGTTAAGTCTTTATAATGGAAGTGTATCTTGTAAGTCTTGCTGTTCATTATCGTATAGCAGTTTGAACACGAATACATTAAGACAACGGCCACCAAGCTCAGGACAGACTGCTATTCTATACCTTAAACCATTCCCTCTTCCCCCGTTACTGTAATGAGTCGTTCAGCTAAAGAAGAGTTGGTGTATAGTGATCAACAACAGTTTAGAATAATTATGGTGACATCAGGTGTAGTACGACGGCCTATACGTGGTTCTGTAGATAGATTATTGAATATACCCGAAAAACAATGTCGGGTCTTACAGTCGGGTGACTTGTGAGCCTACACGGGTAAAGAAGCACCAATTGTATCTTTTATGTGACCATCTTTACCCCCGTTTCCAGTTCGAGTGAGGTGGATAAAGGGGCATAGAGACCTCAAAGCACTGGGAGACAATTGAGCGTGTGATGTAAAACAAAAAATGTGAACAGCAACAAAAATGAGTGTACTCAAGACAACAGGTAGAAACACACTATACAGCATACTGTACACACTCACCGTTCCACACTGACTCACCACTGTTCATTGTATGCAGGATTGTTCATGTTATCACCATCATGAACAAGACGACTCCTGCTCTGTTTACAATTTACACTCGGGTTTTAACGTGACGCCTCAGACCTCGATGCGCCTGTATAAATTCTTACCCTCTGCTCTCTTGCCTCACAACCGAGCTGTCATAAATATTCAAGTGTCCTCCTCTTTTTCCTCCTCCTTCTCCTCCTCTTTCTCTCTTCCTCCTTCTCCTCCTCTTTCTCTCTTCCTCCCGTTCTTCCTCCTCTTCCTCCTCCTCATCTTCTTACTCTTCCTCCTTCTCCTCTTTCTCTCCCTCCTCCTCCCCCCTCCTGTTCTTCCTCCTCTTCCTCTCACTCATCTTCTTTCTCTTCCTCCTTATCTTTCTCTTCCTGCTCCTCCTCCTGCTCTTCCTGCTCTTCCTCCTCTTCCTCCTCCATATTAGTGCACTTTCATACACTCGACTCACTTGAGACATTTCAATCCCACACATTTTTTTCAAGCTTTCTCAGGACCTCATAATATGCCTTCATCTTCCTCTCTCTACTGCTCACTACCTTAATCCATCTCTACTGCTCACTATCTTAATCCATCTCTACTGCTCGTTACCTTAATCCATCTCTACTGCTCACTATCTTAATCCATCTCTACTCACTATCTTTATCCATCTCTACTCCTCACTATCTTTATCCATCTCTACTGCTCACTATCTTAATCCATCTCTACTGCTTACTACCTTAATCCATCTCTACCGCTCACTATCTTAATCCATCTCTACTGCTCACTATCTTAATCCATCTCTACTGCTCGTTACCTTAATCCATCTCTACTGCTCACTATCTTAATCCATCTCTACTGCTCACTATCTTAATCCATCTCTACTGCTTACTACCTTAATCCATCTCTACCGCTCACTATCTTAATCCATCTCTACTGCTCACTATCTTAATCCATCTCTACTGCTTACTACCTTAATCCATCTCTACCGCTGCTCACTATCTTAATCCATCTCTACTGCTCACTATCTTAATCCATCTCTACTGCTCACTATCTTAATCCATCTCTACTGCTCACTATCTTAATCCATCTCTACTGCTCACTATCTTAATCCATCTCACTGCTCACTATCTTAATCCATCTCTACTGCTCATCTTAATCCATCTCTACTGCTCACTATCTTAATCCATCTCTACTGCTCACTATCTTAATCCATCTCTACTGCTCACTATCTTAATCCATCTCTACTGCTTTACCTTAATCCATCTCTACTGCTCACTATCTTAATCCATCTCTACTGCTCACTATCTTAATCCATCTCTACTGCTCACTATCTTAATCCATCTCTACTGCTCGTTACCTTAATCCATCTCTACTGCTCACTATCTTAATCCATCTCTACTCCATCTCTACTGCTCACTATCTTAATCCATCTCTACTGCTCACTATCTTAATCCATCTCTACTGCTTACTACCTTAATCCATCTCTACTGCTCACTATCTTAATCCATCTCTACTGCTCACTACCTTAATCCATCTACTGCTCACTATCTTAATCCATCTCTACTGCTTGTTACCTTAATCCATCTCTACTGCTCACTATCTTAATCCATCTCTACTGCTCACTATCTTAATCCATCTCTACTGCTCACTATCTTAATCCATCTCTACTGCTCGTTACCTTAATCCATCTCTACTGCTCACTATCTTAATCCATCTCTACTCCATCTCTACTGCTCACTATCTTAATCCATCTCTACTGCTTACTACCTTAATCCATCTCTACTGCTCACTACCTTAATCCATCTACTGCTCACTATCTTAATCCATCTCTACTGCTCGTTACCTTAATCCATCTCTACTGCTCACTATCTTAATCCATCTCTACTGCTTACTACCTTAATCCATCTACTGCTCACTATCTTAATCCATCTCTACTGCTTACTACCTTAATCCATCTCTACTGTTCACTATCTTAATCCAAGTTCACCAAAGTTCATTCACAACCTGCAGTTCTCCTTATATCACTTGTATTAAAACTGACCTTCTATTCTGCAATTCTTACGTTCAACTTTCTGCTTCTTACAAACTTCTTCATCGATCAATAATAACATTCTCAACCACCTCCTTCACACTGGTATAGCATTCTCCGTTTCCTATTATTAATAAGATAATTTTCATTTTCTCTACTATTATTAACAAGATAATTTTATTTTTTTCTCGTATTACTATTATTAACAAAATAATTTCTCCTTTCTCTTATTACTATTATTAACAAGATAATTTTCCTTTTTTCTTATTATGGCATTGTTTCAACTCGTTGGTCACTCATTAGTATTCATGGCAGTTTCATGTTTCGTCCCTCGTATTGGACCATCTAGGGAGACATGAGAGAACCAGCGTGACACGAGACCCCCACCTCACCCCCCTCCCGACGCAGTTTTACACTTACCTTAATTAACCCCATACCTGGCCAGCAATACCCCCACACACACAAGGTGCTTCTGTTTACCTGTTATTAGTGTTCTCTAAATTCACGTCTGTGTAAATATTTAATCAGTGCTTTCTCTTCTTCACCGAGACCTTCCCTCATTCCTTCCTTCCCTTCATCTTCTCTCCCTGTGTTACATGGTTCAGTGAGGCATCTGTCGTAATCAGTTAATATCCTTCCCCACACTTGACCAATTATACTCACATGTCTTATTCGTCAATACTTTTTAAACACGTTCTTACCTTCCTTTAGGGGATCACCTGAAGATTAGTCCCCTAGTTTATTTCACCTAATGATTAAACACCCTAACGTTAACTAGGGGGGTTAGGTTCGGTTAAGTGAGGTAATGTTATGTTCTTTAGGTTAGGTTAGCGTAAAGGTCCGTCCACACGAGCGTACATTCTGTCGCTAACATGTGATCGGCTGCGTGCACTATATGGGTGTTTCCTCTTGTTGATCACATGTTGGCGACTAAATGTACGCTCGTGTAGATACATCTTTAAGGTGTTTAATCAAGTGGAATAAACTAGGTGGCTAATCTTCAAGTGATCCAGCTAGCTATGGGGACATTACTTGTTGTCCTCCAAGACTCACAGCTCGTCCTTCCTCCAGGCACTCAGCAACATTGTCCTCAACCAGTCATTCATGATGCTTCAATGACCACACCACACCACACCATTTGCACCTCACCCTTGTGTGTTTTATCGTCTTTATTGTGTTTGCTTATGTATTCTTTTATTTTCGTATGTATATTATTCATTCTCTCCCTACACCCACTTCTCTTGTCTCCCATCCTTTCTCCACCTTTCTCGGAGTCTTTTTTCTCTCTTCGTCACCTTTATCATCTACAACACTTCTCCACCTAACACGCCTATCTCTTTCTCTTGTCCTAATCTACGGCAACATTTTGGTATATCACTATATTATATGAACCTGTGTGTGTGTGTGTGTGTGTGTAGGGGTTATGAGTTAACTATGAGGTCACAGGTATACTGGTGTGTACTTATGTGGTCAGCAGTGTGACCGAGTAACCCCGGGACGGTCTGTGTAACGGTGATGCCCCGTTGCCCCTGCCTACTTTACACTAGGACCCTCCTCTCGTCCCCATTTTCTCTGCATGCCAATTAGTTTTCTCAATTAACGTTCCCCCAATTGAACCCTCTTCATTTCTTCTTATTTCTCTTCCCGTTCACCCCTCCAGCAGACCTCTGCGTCCCCTACTATCTTACCTCAGCCAGTGATCTCTCGCCATTCTACCCCTCACCCTCACCACACACACTGTACACCCCTCTCCCGAGTCTCCTCCCCCTACCCAGCCTTGTAGCAGCTGCTGCGGAGTAGGATGACCGATGCGTGAGAATTAATTACAATTTAATCGTAATTATGAGTCCTATAATTGTCTGGTTGTATATCACTTGTGTTTATAAGACAAATTTTCTCGTATGGTTTATCCCGCAGTAGATTTCTCGTCTTGTAAATGTTTTTAATATACTTTATTTATTAATTATTGGCTTCTCGGTATTAACACGTGTGCGAATGTTGTGTCACTTACAACGTGTTAAGAGTTCCGCATTATTATATATCTATTAAAATTCCCAAGTTCCAATAAGCAGAAATATAAAAATGATATCAAAAGGTAAGGAGAGACTGTATTGCATCCTACGTTTCAATGGGATGTGGTAAAATAAATTTCACCACCCAACATATCGGCCAACAGCTGATCGACGAGTTGCGGGCGAGCATTTTTGCTCTGGGCACCAGTGCGGAATATTGCAGCGACGAGTGGAGTAGTAATTGGTAATACTTGGTGGCGAGTGTTTACCGGGCAGGTGTTACACAGCCCACACAGGTAACGGCCGTGTACACCCCGCGGCATTTCTTGAATCATGTCGGTTAAGGCCGTGTCAGTTCGTTGAGACCGGGTAACGACTAACGAGGAGTCAGTTGTGGTTCTTCCTTGCGTATGGGCAGAGGGGAAGGTCCCCACCACCTTATTCAAGTACAACCTCCAAATTTCTCTTGATTTATAGTTCCCTGGAATGGATACAAGTGTGTTGTGTATACATCGAGCTGTGTATTATATGCTTCTTAAACTAGAAAGCAAGAAACCAAACTTTATCAAGAAGTAATTGTGAAATTTGAGTCAGGTGATTTTTGGGGAACATCTGTACACCGGATATAAGGAGTTACATCGGTTACTGTGTATAGTGTGGTGATGACTCAACCAGAAGCTGCGTCTTGTAACTAAGAAAAAATGCACGATACAGGTACGTACCTCACCTGCCCCATAGTTTGACCACTTGTGAACCTCCAACTCTCTAATTAAAATATGCGGCTTAAACGCAAGTGTGCAGTAGAGAGTTTTGAACTGTAGTGTGGACGACCTCGTGGTACAGTTGTGAACATATTTGATGTAGTGCATGAAGTAGTGTAATCATTGATGTCATCTTTACTGTGTATTCATTAAAGAATTATTTTAATGAACACTTGTATATGTATGGGTGTTGTACGTGTCTGGCTGTGTTGTATGTTGTAAAGGTCATTATGTGTCGACTGCTTGGAACTGAGGATGAGTGTACCGGATATATGTGGGGTGAATGATGAATGTGTATTAATGTTGACTTATTTTGTGGATGTGTGTGTGTGTGTGTGTGTGTGTGTGTTTTGAGTGGATGTGTTTTTTGAGTGGATGTGTTTTTGTGTTCATGTTTCAATAAGTTTTCATGTATACGTGTATATATCGTATTTATGCGTGTATAAACAAATTATGAAAAAAAAATCAAAACTTGCCGTACGTCATAGGAGCAAGGAGTAACCTTTAACTTCCGCTCTTAAGTGTCAACCTAACAAATATAATCAGATCGACTGTACTGCATATATTTACTCGCGGGTGAGACTACTGATGAGGACTTTTGAGGTTTCTGAGAGAAGCAGAAACCTTTATGAGACACTGAGGTTTTCTTCCTCACTGATGAGAATAAATGTGAAATACTTACCATATATTCCCAGGTATATCATTCTAGAATCAATGCGTGTCTGCACTAGCCAATACGGTATGCAGTATGTGGGTGTTTAACATTTTCATATAAATTGCTCCGGACAACATGGCCACTACAGAACTTATTGTTTTGGGGATTTTATTTATACAACATTTCTATCTTGAGTGCAGTTGTAATTAGCGGATCCAGTTTCGAATCTGCAAAGCTAATGGCACTGGTATAGTTTGGAAGTGGCAAGTAAGCCCTCTACACCATCGGCGCCTCTTTCAAGTGACAAAACACCGAACGATGTTTTAACAAGTGAAGCACTGGGTACTGCTGAAGACAGTCCAGGGATAGGTATGTCAATTAACAAGTATCTGGTATATACTGTATATTTAATTAAGAAATGATGTAACTATAAGCAAAATCGGTATTTTTTTTTACTAGTAGACAACCAAGGACTTCTTAGTTAGGTTACGTTACGTTCTTAGGTTAGATTAGGTTAGTTTTGGTGTTTTTTGAATGTTGAACAATGTGTTTTTCTGATGTTAAAATCCATGGTTGTCCATTTGTAAAAATTTACCTCAATCTCACAAGCCGCTTTTATTTAGCGGTGCCTCTTTGTATTTACCATGCCTGAAACTACATTATTAATGCATGCAGACATGACTATGACGCGACTTGGTACGCCCATTGAATGAATATGAAGTATTGTAAATTAGTATGGAGATGAAGATTCACTTTGTAAACTGTGTATGTTACTTGGGGTAAGAGCAACAGTGTGTTGGTATTTTTTCTTTAGGCTACTTGCTATCATAATTGTAATGAGACAAAATCTCACATGAAGAGGTAAGTTAGGAGGTTATAGTAGTAGAATATTATAGCGAGAGGAAATGGTAGCGTGTCACGAGGGTGTGATGTCAACACTGTATATTAACACAGGCACAGTACAAGTGTAGTATATAAAACACCAATGCGTGTTACAGCTTTATTTTACTAGTTCAATAGGGGGGATTAATGGGGGGGTTCGTACACAATTTATGATAGACTATGGTATTCTCGTATAACCTAACCTCACAATTAGAATGGGCACTTCACTAAGTCGATCGTTGGGGAGGTTCGGGATCACCGCACTTCTACAGTCTACACAGCCAGCACTTACTGTTACACGTTGAGTTGACAGCACTCTGTCGATGGACCCGGCTGAGACTTCGTTACACTTAGTGGCGGGCTTCTCTCGAGCGGGACTGGGGACGTGGTAGCTGGCCCTTCTTGGTTACAAGACACACTCTCGTGAGGGAGGGCTAGGACGTCCTATATATTGGAAGACCAGCCGTCAGGTTGAGCTGATCGGGGGGGCGGCGAAGGGTCTCCTTACATTTGCCCTCGCTAATGTAGGGTCAGGTCTGGACTTTTTCAGAGACTATAAGTTGTATATTCTGGAGAAATCTTCAGATGGGGCCGTGTGACATGAGAGGCCCTGGTTGATTTGTGGCCCCTTGACTTGGGCTCGAGGGTTACATTTGACCTGGCTAATGTGAGGTCAGGTCTGGACTTCTTCTGCGGTGTAGGTTATTGTGTATATTGGGAGAGAGTCGGCCGGTGCCTTCTTACATGTTTGTTGGGGCCGTGTGACATGGGAGGGGAGCCAGTTGATTTGTAACTCCTTGAGTGGTTGCGAGGGGTACCCTTACATTTGACCCCCCTAATGTCGGGTCAAGTCTGGACTGTTTCTGAGATGTAAGCTGTGGTCTGACAACCCATCACTACATAATTATCCACCTCCTGTCACGATGTACGTCCGCCTTACGTCACTTTCCAGCTATCAGTATCTCGTGATCCACCCGTGCACAGGTGGCAGAGGATTAAAAGTTGCTGGTGAATAGAATTGCTGTCATTTAGTAACTCATGTACACGACAGGGCCTCAACAACACACGTGTCCCCGCTATCTACCCTCCACACACACACACACTTCCCTATTCCACCCCCTTCCATCTGGTGATCCGTCTCTACCCCCTCCCGTATCCTTACCCCGCCCGTCTCCCTACCCCAGCCCCCCGTCTCCGTCTCTCCCTACCCCAGCCCCGCCCGTCTCCCTACCCCAGCCCCGCCCGTCTCTCTACTTAGCCTTGCCCTTGCTGACTGTCACCCCGCCACCCGTCACTCCGCCACCAGACAGCACCATACATTTATTTAATTACCTCAACGGCACCACAAGGACGCCATGATGACACAAGCTGCATGACACTCATGACATTACTGGTGACACACACACACACACTCACTCACTCTCTCTTTGTCCCGTGGTTTGTCATGTCCGGTCATACACTCATACAGTTTGTTATGCACTGTCCTGTACACAGTTTTTCATTGTGTTGTGCATACATCGCCCACCAGGCCTTGATGTGGGTCATAAAATGACCTGTGCCCGGGTGGGCTAATGCCCGTAAAAAAAAAATTGTCACATTGTTAGGCACACCGCTTGTCATATACTGTCAGGCACACCGCTTGTCATATACTGTCAGGCACACAGTTTGTCATGTATTGCCATGCACACAGTTTGTCATATACTGTCAGGCACACAGTTTGTCATACTGTCAGGCACACAGTTTGTCATATACTGTCAGGCACACAGTTTGTCATATACTGTCAGGCACACAGTTTTCATATACTGTCAGGCACACATTTTGTCATATACTGTCAGGCACACCGTTTGTCATATACTGTCAGGCACACCGTTTGTCATTAAGTGTCAAGCACACAGTTTGTCATTTGGTGTCAGGTACACAGTTTGTCATATACTGTCAAGCACACAGTTTGTCATATACTGTCAGGCACACAGTTTGTCATATAGTGTCAGGCACACAGTTTGTCATATACTGTCAGGCACACCGTTTGTCATATACTGTCAGGCACACCGTTTGTCATTAAGTGTCAAGCACACAGTTTGTCATTTGGTGTCAGGTACACAGTTTGTCATATACTGTCAAGCACACAGTTTGTCATATACTGTCAGGCACACAGTTTGTCGTATAGTGTCAGGCACACAGTTTGTCATATACTGTCAGGCACACAGTTTGTCGTATAGTGTCAGGCACACAGTTTGTCATATACTGTCAGGCACACAGTTTGTCGTATAGTGTCAGGCACACAGTTTGTCGTATAGTGTCAGGCACACAGTTTGTCATATACTGTCAGGCACAGTTGTCATATACTGTCAGGCACATTTTTGTCATATACTGTCAGGCACAGTTTGTCATATACTGTGTTTACAGTTTGTCATATACTGTCAGGCACACAGTTTTCATATACTGTCAGGCACACATTTTGTCATATACTGTCAGGCACACCGTTTGTCATATACTGTCAGGCACACCGTTTGTCATTAAGTGTCAAGCACACAGTTTGTCATTTGGTGTCAGGTACACAGTTTGTCATATACTGTCAAGCACACAGTTTGTCATATACTGTCAAGCACACAGGTTGTCATATACTGTCAGGCACACAGTTTGTCATATAGTGTCGGGCACACAGTTTGTCATATACTGTCAGGCACACAGTTTGTCATATAGTGTCAGGCACACAGTTTGTCATATAGTGTCAGGCACACAGTTTGTCATATACTGTAAAAGCTTACACAGTTTGTCATATACTGTCAGGCACACATTTTGTCATATACTGTCAGGCACACAGTTTGTGTCATATACTGTCAGGCACACAGTTTGTCATATACTGTCAGGCACACAGTTTGTCATATGCTAATCCCAGGCACACAGTTTGTCATATACTGTCAGGCACACAGTTTGTCATATACTGTCAGGCACACAGTTTATCTCATATACTGTCAGGCATACACACAGTTTGTCATATACTGCCAGGCACAGTTTGTCATATAGTGTCCAGGCACACAGTTTGTCATATGCTGTTAAGCACACAGTTTGTGTCATATACTGTCAGGCACACATTTTGTCATACTGTCAGGCACACACAGTTGTCATATACTGTCAGGCACACATTTTGTCATATACTGTCAGGCACACAGTTTGTCGCCACTGTCAAGCTTACACACAGTTTGTCATATACTGTCAAACACACAGTTTGTCATATACTGTCAGGCACACAGTTTTCATATGCTATCCAGGCACACAGTTTGTCGTATAGTGTCAGGTTTGTCGTATAGTGTCAGGCACACAGTTTGTCGTATAGTGTCAGGCACACAGTTTGTCGTATAGTGTCAGGCACACAGTTTGTCATATACTGTCAGGCACACAGTTTGTCATATACT